GTGTGTGTGTGTGTGTGTGTGTGTGTGTGTGTGTGTGTGTGTGTGTGAGAGATGACTAAAAGATCAGACATGAATGTGATGCCTTTTGCTGCTGAGTAGCTTGCCAGTACCTGTGAACTATCTGGGGAAGATACAAGAGCTTGTGGAAGAGGAGAGGAATAGGTCTCGGGGTGAATAAAAAGCCTAGAAAATATATAAATATAGTTGTGATGTAGACTTCAAATTCCTAGTGTCTTTGTTTCCTAAACTGGCATTCCTTAAAGTGCACAGTTTGTTATATGCCCATTGATTTATTGCAGGGAAGAAGAGCCACATGAACACTGTGCTGGAGGCAACATGGATGCTGGAACTGTGACAAGTTTATCAGACTTGTCCAATTCCTTCAATCACTTTCTCGTGAATTACAAAGACCCAAAGCTCTTGTACTGTGCAAATGGAGGTTACTTTGTTCGAATTCTCCCTGACGGACAAGTAGAGGGGACGAGAGACCGCGGCGATGCATACAGTGAGAATTCTTTTTAGCCTTCGTGTATACTGCATTGTTAAAGTGTGTGTTTATATGTGTGTTTGGACTTGTGTCGCTTGGCAACTGCTTTGAAACTTTCCAAGTTCAATTCACTAAGGACTTCTTAGCAGTCAGGAGAACAAAGTTTCCAGTGGTGTTTTAGGGGGACAAAGAAATGAAAACGCTAATGCCCTGTTAGTTTCTCAGTACAATCATTTGAACATTTTTTTAAAGCATTTATAATTTACAGGAGAATGATCATGCAATTTTCACAGTGAAGCTGACTGTTATTCTCTGTAAGTGCACAAGGAACAAAGGAAATAGCAGCAGGCTTAGGCCATTCAGCCCGTCAGGCCCATTCCACCATTCAAGTTAATCATGGCTGATTTTCTCCCTCAGTCATTTTCCCACACTATCTATTTTCCCACACTGCCTAATACCCTTGACAGCTGTAACATCTACACATCTATCGATCTTTGTCTTAAATGTTAAACTTTAAATTCAAATCAGTTGTCTATTTTTTTTAATCATCTTTCCTCTCCCAAGCCTACATCATCCGGGTTCTATTCCCAAGGGACAATTTTCCATTTGTGCATCTCTGGGAACAATGTAAGCTTATGTGACTACGCAGTTAATGCAATTCCTCATTTCATCTGGATCAGCTCATGCATTTCCATAGTCTGGATAACTGCTACTTATATTGGGAGTGGGGGAGGAGAAGGCGAAGGGAAAGGGGAGGTGAACATGAAGCCAAAAATGGCCAAAGCCCAGGGGCAATGATGCCCCATTAATCTTAATGGCTCTGTTTTATTATTGGCCTCTAGCTCCGTCTCCCACCCAGCAGTCGGCCAAATAGACCATCTGACTGGCAGGTAGGAGGCAATCCTGGCAATTAGGACTGGGGTGAGTGCAGGACAGGCGAGGGTCTGAGTAGTGGAGCTGGTGATTGAGTTAGATGGGTGGGGAGACTGGCAATCAAGTCTGGGGCTATGGCAGACATTTGGGACTGAGCTTGGGATGCAGTCTTGCAAGTTCAGTGAGGGGTGAATCTGAGATTGATTTGTGAGGTTGGGCTAGGCGGGGGGGGAGCTGGTTTGGAGATTTTACTGATTGGGGTGGGATAGGAGAGAAACTATCAATTGGGGTGAAGTCAAGGTAGGGCAGGTGGGGGGGGGAGGGGAGTTGTGAAGGTCTGTTTGAGACCAGGATTCCCTTTTGGGTGTAGGGTCACCAATACGTTTCCAACTGGCCCACAGGAAGTGCTAAAAGGAACTACCTCAACCTTCCTCATGGAATCAGCAGCTCATATTAACTCCTTATTGTTGAGTATTTTTGGCCTCTGGAAAGATTTGCAGCAACAATAAGTCACAAGTCAAGTATCAAACTGCAAACTGAATACTGGTCCAATTGGATTTTTAGAATTGCCTCCGTAACCTGATATGAATGCAACCTAGGCTGAGGGAATTCTTGCTCACTTTTACTCTCAGCTCTCTCTATATCATTCACATTTCTCTCTGTCTCTCTCTCTGCGTCAGTATGTTAATTTGAACAGCAGTCTGCAATAAGGAAAGGAAACAGTCAGAAACAATCAAAGCAGCTGCATCAAATGCTCTGATCTCCTAAAGCTGTAGGGACAAATCATCATTGTTTAATCTCATTAAAGTTTCCAAACAGGATGACTCTATGGCATGATTCACTCTGAGTTATGGTGAGGCTACCTTGTGGTTTAGTGTTTTGTCTTTTCAACGTGCTTTTCATAGAGCATGCAAAATGTTGATGCAGATGAAATGCTTCCTGAATGGGATCTTCCCTCTTTAGAGGGACACGTGGACAGTAAATGCAGTTCAGAATGCCGGAACTCTGTGTTTAGTGTATCTTTGGGTTTGATTATGTCATCTTGAATATAATTCATCCCTCTCCAGTTCGGCTCCAGCTGCAGGCTGTAAGAAGAGGAGTGGTGTCGATTCAAGGGATTGAATGTGGGCGCTACCTAGCAATGAGCGAAATGGGACAACTTAATTCCTCAGTAAGTCGATACCCTATTGTATTTTGCTCACTTTTCATATTTGAATGTTTACTGCACGCTATATCTCTATTACTCAATAAGATAGCCCTAATCAAATTCTTTAGTGATGGATTCCCAATTGGGATCTTGCTTATTCCCTTCCTATCCTGAAAGTTAATGCCTGCATGTGACTCTCTGAGTGTGAGCTGTTCATAATAAGAAATAGGAATGGGAGTAGGCCTTTTGGCCCATCAAGCCTGCACCTGTATTCAATAAGGTGATTTAATCATGATTAGCAATGGTACCTAGGCCGTACATATCCTTTCCCTAATTTTGGGATCCAGAATGCTGCCTATTGTCCCTCCACCTGTACCATATCTGAGATCACATGATTCCCATGAATTTGCAGGATTCCTTCCGATAGCAAAAAAAATTGAAGATTTTGAGATTAGCAAAAATGGAATTAGTTCACAAACAAGAAACATGATCAACTTTCAGGCTGTGTGGATCAGTTAACCTGTTTGCAGCATCGAACCATTAAACTCCTGGAAGCATTGTAGGGCCCATTATTAATTTATATTGTTCACTTTAAATCCAGGCAGTGTCCCTTTTCATGTTTATTCTTCCACAGGACACAGATGTCACTGACTAGGCCCAGCATTTGTTAATCCATCCCCCACTGCTCTGGAGATGGTGGTGGAGAGCCACCTTCTGAACTATTGCAGTCCACCCACACTGCTGTTAGCAACAGAGCTCCAGGATTTCACCTTTAGGATCTAGTCTCTGGAAAACAGCACTACAGTTGTGGATTGATATAACATGTTCAGTGTGGTTAAAAACATCACAAGGTGCTTCTTTGGTCTCTGATCCACAAAGGGGAGATATTAAAAGAGGTGACTGGAAGCCTGGTCAAGGAGGTCTGTTTAAAGGAGCATTTTAAAGGAGGAGACAGACAGACGTGGAGGTGGAAAAGATCAGAGAGGGAGTTCCTGAGTTTCAGGCCTTGGCAGCTGATGGTACATCAACCAATGGCAGAGAAATGAAAATGTCAGTGTGCTACTGCTGAGAAGGGATAGGCTATTCAGCATCTTGATCCTACTCTACCATTTAATAACATTTAATAAGATTCATTTCTAATAAAATAAAAAAGAAGACATTTGGACAGGTACATGAATAGGAGAGGTTTAGAGGGATATGGGGCAAACACAGACAAATGGGACTAATTCAGTTTAGGACACCTGGTCGACATGGACATTTTGGACCAACAGGCCTGTTTCTGTGCTTTATGACTCTATGACTTTAAGATCGCAGCTGATCTGATTGTAACCTCAATTCCATGATTTCCCCCACCCAGATAACCTTTTACTTCCTTGCATATCAAGAATGTATCACGTCTGCATTAAAAAGATTCAAAGAGTTTGCTTTCTCACCTTTTCAGGAAAAGAGTTCCCATGACCCCCAAACCACTGTGAGGAAAAAAAGTTTCACCTCTGTTTAAATGGACAAACCTTTATTTTTAAACAATGATCCCTAGAACAGGATTCTCCCATGAGAGGAAACATCTTCCTCACATCTGCCCTGCCAAGACCCCAAAGGATCTATGTTTCAATTAAGTGGGAACTAGCTGTCTACATTAATCATTTGCCACAAGGTGCAATTAATCTATAGGCAGAGACCCAAGCAAATCAGAACCATCAGAACCAGAAACATTTGTGTTTTGTACTTGCCAATGCTCATTCTCAACCATCATTGTTCCGCCAATGGTGCAGGTACTTCAGTTTTATAAACCCAAACTGAAGAAGTTCCTTTCCACATCTCCTCTTCTCTCCTTCTTACCTCACTTTCCTCCTTTAAGGCATTTGTTAAAATCTGCCAATTTGACATGGTTTTGATCACCTGACTTAATATCTCCTAATGTGGTTCAGTGCACACTCTGTTGTATAATGTTCCTGTGAAGCACCTTGAGATGTTTGATTAAACTAAAGGCACTATATGAATATGTCACTCAGAGATAATAAGAACTGCCGATGCTGGAGTCAGAGATAACACAGTGTGGAGCTGGAGGAACACAGCAGGCCAGGCAGCACCAGAGGAGCAGGAAAGTTGATGTTTTGGGTCAGGACCCCTCTTCAGAAATTTCCCCATTTCTGCTCCTCTGATGCTGCCTGGCTTGCTGTGTTCCTCCAGCTCTACACACTGTTAACTACTATATGAATATGTGTTCTGTTGTTGTTGCTAGGCATTGACTCATCAGGTTTAGGTCAGCCTTCAGTATTTCAACCAAATGACAACTCTATCTTCATTCATGATTCTTGACAATGAATGCCAGAAACCTTTCTGATTGTCCTATCAAATGTTTCGTCCACTGCTTTACATTTATTAGCCTGTTTAAATGAATTCAACTAAAACACTATCTCAATTAAGCCTGGCCCTATCATCATGAAAAGCAAATTTCCAAAAAGGTTTGCTGAGGAAGGATGTTCTTCTATAAAGGAAGTGCAGTGAAGATTTACCTGGGGTGGTAGAACTGACATATGAGGATTACATTTGTTGCAGTTCAGAAGGGGGGGGGTGGGGGTGGGGGGGTGGGTGCGGGGTAGGAATCTCATAGAAACCTATAAAATACTAACAAGACTAAACAGGATAAATGCAGGAAGGTTGTTCCCAATGGCAGAGGTCACAGTTTGAGGCTACACAGTGTAGGTCATTCAGGACTGAAATGAGGAGACAGCTCTTCACCTAGATGCTGATGAGTCTTTGGCTACCACACAAAGCATTCAAGGCCAAAGCATTATATGATTTCAAGAAGATGGATGTAGTATTTAGGGCAAAAGGGATCAAAGCTATGGGGGAAGGCAGGAACAGGCTATTGAGTTGGATGACCAGCCATGATCATAATTAATTGGTGGACAGTCTCGAAGAGCTGAAAGTCCTACTACTGCCCCTGTTTTCTACATTTCAATAACAGCAACTCAGAGCAGTAACCTCTATTGATCTCCCCCACTTTCTCACTCGAACCTGAGCTGTTAAGTGAACTCTAATGCTTTAATATAAAACAAAGAACTGCTGGAGATCTGGAACAAAAACAGCAATTGCTGCAGAAACTCAGCAGTCCTCGCAGCATCTGTGGAGAGAAAGCAGACTTAACGTTTTTGAGTTCAGTGACTCTTCTGTTTCGGAAAACAATTTCTGTTTTTGTTCCTAATGCCTTTATCACTGCCCTTCCGATATGAAAGGGGAGAGGGAGACAAAGCATTAAATGTGTGAAGTCCAACATCTCTTTAGCTCAACTCTTAATTCAATAAACTTGCTGGTGAATGGCAACTAATAGGCAAGATTTTAGAATATGTCTGGCACTGTGGAACAACAATGGAATAAGTCTGGCTGGGCTATCCAATCCAGGTGGACAGTGCTGATGCAGTACTGACAGAGTGCCATGTGGAGGTGCTGTCTTTCAGATGAGACACAAATCGGGGCCTGGTGTAAAGTCCCTGTGGCACTGTGTCAAAGAAGAGTAGAGACGTTCTCCTAATTCTTCTGGCCAAAATTTAGTATCTGACAAAGATCACTAAAACAGGTGTTCTCTTAACTTCTCCTTCACCACAGTTGAAACTGATGTATGTGCTGTCTGATACATTGATCACAAAGGGCCCTTCACAATGACACACTTGTCCATAACAGCTTCCTTCTCTTAACCCGCCCTCTCTTTGCTTTCCTTCCTTGCTATTCTATTCTCTTGTTCCTTCCTGTCATGCCATTAATCACATCCCACAGCTTGACTCCACTCTAAGAGATAAGTATAGGGGAGGTAACGTCTTTGTAAATTACTGTAATGAGACAAAGGAAACAGGACTCACCTGTCCTCTTTGAGCTCAGGAAAGCTACAGCCCCTTCCCCCAGTCCCTCAAAAAAAGCAAAACAAACTGGACAGAGCAACTGGGAAAAAGCAACTATCAAAATCACAATTGCTAGAATGAAGATATCTATTCACATCACAGCCTTTTAACCAGCAAACATGCTCCAACTCCCAGTAATAGTGGAGTTTTGCCTTGTTTCAGCTCAAAAATAGATTGTTATCATGGTTTGCAGTACAGACAGGGTTGAGGAAAAAGCTTCCTTGCCAATTTGCTCACCGTCCTCCTTTCACAAAAACTGATCCATCATAAGCTTGGATGCTCACAAATCTCCACTATTTCACTAAAAATGCACAGGCTCTTACAGGGTCTGCCAACCCCCTGACGAATGATTGGGGTACCAGAAGAGTCTACGGACACTGGGGCCTAGCTGATGACTGAACTGAACTTCCACAGATTTTCTCTGTGACCTGTAACTGGACAATTTGCCATATGATCAGAATTCAGGAAGATGCAGTCCCCAATAATCCTTTGGGAAGTCACAGTTAAAGGAGGAGGATTCCTAATTGATGTGTGGGAGCTGGGGAAGTGGGAAGAGGGAGAGGATCAATACTAGAGGTTTTGGAAGCCATTGTCAAAGTAGGAAACTTCATGATGCACTTTGAAGGACTTCCCCTTGCCCCATAAAGAACCTGAAAATCAAATTTTAAAATGTACCTTGATGGGCCTGTTCCAGACCATGAATTCACTCTTACAGATCCGGCCTGACAAAAACGTCATCACATTTTCCCAGTTCTGGCTAAATTTGTGGATTGGCTATTGATGACATCCTCTGAATAGGCCACTTATGTCAAATAAAAACAGGTTAGACTTGGAAGACCAGGTGAGAAAGCACTGAGATTGGAGGGGGTGGGTGGCTGCTTTAACCGTGCCTCCCACCCTATGACCACAACCATTTCTGCCAAGCAGGGGAGGGTTAAAATTGTTGCTTATGAGCCTTCATGAGGAACTCCAGAAAAGACATCATTGTCAAGCACAATATGCATCTTATAGAGGCTGTTTGATAGCTTGCAAGAACTGAAACTCCCAGGTAATATTAACATCATCCAGGCACAAACTGTTTGTCCTACCTTAGTTAACTTAGCTTCCTGATCTGTACAACTTTAT